GCCACTTCCGGCTTTTTTTTTCTGCTTATGTGGTGCTGAGGAATCGAACCCAGGGCCTCATGCATGCGAGGCAAACACTCTACCACTGAGCCAACTTCCCAGCCCAATGAGTGCATTTCTTATCAAGCATTGTTGCCCCCTCCTTTGTTTCCCCTTCCCATCCCTTCCCATCTTCCCCCCTCCCCCTCCCACCCTCCTTCTCCTTGAAGGGATTTTCATGTTGTCAAGGAAAGAGTTCTAGGTGCTGAAAAAGGGTGATGGGTGTGTGACTTATCATCTTCTAGCTCTGAAAGATGATGCAGAATTTTTTGTTTCAGAAGAACTGACTATGTTGTGCGGCCCAGCACAGGGGAGGAGAAACGAGTTTTTCAGGAGCAGGTAAGATGTCCCTAGAGAGCTCACGCCTGTAAGCCTAGCTACTCAGGAGGCCGAGATCTGAGGACCAAGGTTTGAAGCCAGCCTGTACAGGAAAAGTCTGTGAGAATCTTATCTCCAATAGACTCAGAAAAAGCTGAAAGTGGTGCTGTGGTTCAAGTGGTAGTGCACTAACCTTGATTAAAAGAAGCTCAGAGATACTGCCTAGGCACTGAATTGAAGCTCCAGGACCGATAACACATACCCACAAAAAAGTACCTTGAGTGCAGTATAAATATCTGCCTTTGAGAAGCCAAGTAGAGAGAAGTGCTCTATTTGAGTCCAGATTCTTTGAGAAAATCAGTACTCCTCACCCGAGATACTCTGATGGTTGAGATTCCTAGTTTGGGGAAGGAATGATGTGAAGGAAGGGAGTGATCACTAATTGGATGGTCTTTTTTTCCAAGAAAGCTTTGTTGTCCTTTGCTGGGTGACCAGCTCTGAGGACTATCTTTTTAAAAAATTTTTTTTATTGTGGCTGGCTGTTCCTTGTTAGTGGGATTACTTGTTTCCTTCCTGTTTTAGAATCCATCTGTGGGTTCCCTTTTTGTAGTGGAGAGCTAGGAAGAGTTCTACTAATTCTGACTTGGGAGCTTTCTGCCTTTTCTCTTGGCAGGAACGTTATAGGTACAGTCAACCCCATAAGGCATTCACTTTTCGCATGCATGGCTTTGAGTCTGTGGTGGGGCCAGTAAAGGGCGTGTTTGACAAGGAGACCTCCCTCAACAAGGCTCGAGAGCATTCACTGCTGCGCTCTGATCGGCCTGCCTATGTCACCATCCTGTCTCTTGGTATGTAACGTGTATCTATCATCAGGGGTTTCTGTCTTCCTGTTGTTGTTGTTGTTGTTTTTTAATCCGTCCCAAAACTATTCTCAAATCAATTCTCTTCTCTTGGTGCCAGATTCTACTCTTGTATCATCCACTCAGAGCTAGGGATAGGGTTAACATTTGTAACCCTTGAGGGATAATATTTGTAATCTTTGGAATTTGGGAAATGAGGGAGGGATTCTGCCTGGAGATGGATGCCAAGAATCAGTATTTCTTTCTGCAGTTGGGCTCAGAGTTATGTTCATCCAAGAATTTCTCCCTGCGGGGCACTGGTAACTCATGCCTGTAATTCTAGCTACTCAGGAGGCTGAGATCTGAGGATCACGGTTCAAAGCCAGCCAAGGCAGGAAAATCCATGAGACTCTTATCTCTAATAAACTACTCAGAAAACTGGAAGTGATGCTCTGGCTCAAGTGGTAGAGTGCTTGCCTTGAGTTGAAGACCTCAGGGACAGTGCCCAGGCCCAGAGTTCAAGCTCCACACTGACCAAAAAAAAAAAAGGAAAGGAAAAAAAAGAATTTCTCCCAGGCCAGCTAAGTAGTAAAATGTGGGACTTTGCTTTCTTAGATTTTTATGTTGCTCTGAATCCCTTTGGCAGTCTGGAGAAACCTATGGACCCCTTTCCAGAATGGTTTTTAAGAGCATAGTAAGAATTTTTCATTGCAAAAGAAGTCAGTTTGAAAGTAGTTAATAAGATACTATAGCAAGCTATGTGCAGAAATATATATTTGGAATAGTCAATGAGAAGAGTTAGCAGCAGATTTTATATAACTTCTGTCAATTCCAAAAAGATACGAATAGAAATGATTGTGAATTGTCTTCAACATCTACAATATATGAAACCATTGGACTTATATTACAGCATCACAGCACTGCCAATGTATACTTAGAGCCTTTGTTTATAATTGCGTGAAATGTGAAATTTCAGTAAGAGATGTAATATTATTCCTACCTCGGTTCCTAGAACCACTGAATTCCAAGGTGTCCAGAAACCTTCAGACCTCCCCAAGTGTGAAGTGTATAGGACTCTCCAGTGGCAGAGATGCTGGCCACTAGAGGGCAGGGTGCACCTGACTCAGTCAGTGAGATTCAGTAAGTTCAAGGAGTACTGCCACTTCATAGCACGTCAGGGGACCTAGTTCCTTAGTGAAGGCCTTGATTGACTCCTGGATTTTGTACTTTCTGATGTTATCAGTTCGGGATGCTGCTGCTAGGCTACCTAATGGAGAAGGCACTCGGGCAGAGATCTGTGAACTCCTCAAAGATTCCCAGTTCCTTGCATCAGATGTTACTAGCACTCAGGTAAGTGGGAGAAAAAGTTTTATTTGACTCTGTTCCAGAATACATTACAGAAAATGTATTAGAAATACAAATGATACTTTTCTCCTGGTGCTAGGGATTGAACCCAGGGCCTTCTACATGTTGGGCAAATACTTTACCACTGCATTACACCCATAGAGCCTGACATAAATTTTTTAAAAACTGAATGAAGAGGGGCTGGGAAGGTGGCTCAGTGTTAGAGCACTGGCCTTTCATGCCTGAGGCCCTGGGTTCGATTCCTCAGCACCACATAAGCAAAAAGAAAAAAAAAGCCGGAAGTGGCGCTGTGGCTCAAGTGGTAGAGAGTAAGCCTTGAGCTGAAGAGCTGAGGGACAGCGCCCAAGCCCAGAGTTCAAGCCCTCGACTGGACCCAAAAAAAAAAACTGAATGAAGAGCTGGTGGCTTACACCTGTTACCTTAACTACCAGCCTGGGCAGAAAAGTTTGTGAGACTGTTACCTCTATTAACTACCCAAAAAGCTGGAAGTACAGTTGTAGCTCAAGTGCTAGAGTGTTATCTTGAGCAGAAAAGCTCAGGGACATTACCCAGGCTCTGAGTT